TGCAGTAGCACTGATCCTTGCAGCATACAGTGCATCACTGTCAACACCTTTGCCTCTCCCCTTGACTTCCTCCTCCTGTAAGACAGCTCATTCTAAAACAATGTAAATGTAGCATGGTCAGCCCCTGGTGTTTAAAAAAATCTTTGAAAGGGAGACTGCCTGTTATTCTTATGAACCTTGTATTTACACTGTAAAAAGTGAGGTCTGACCCCTCCTGAAGAGAGGCCTTTCCCTGCTGAACTCGCCACAGAGTGGAGCACAGCTTTACTGCCATACTTTTAAAACTGCAACTAATGCAAACCAGCTGTAAAGCAAAGGCTTTAGAAAGAAACTACCCGTTTTCTACTGAGGTTTTAATTTTATGAATCTAAGGCATCTGAGTGACAGTTTGCTGAGGACATGCTCTCGCTGTCCTTTATCTTCTGGGACTTCAAATGGATTCACTATCTGGATGCCAAAGTGTGATCCATACTTCTCAAGTGTAGATTCTCACACGTTCCATCACTAGGTACTTAAAGAATTAAGCTTAAAATCAAACATGCCACTTCCTTTGCAAAATTCACGCATGCAGAGCTAACCATTCATGCCAAATAGATATGTATGGCCTCATATTAACTACGTAACACACAAACTGGCACACAATTGCCATCAAAATTCAGGCATCACTTGGAAGCAGTAATTGTCCAGATTATCTAGATATCAACAAGAACCAAAATGTTTCCAGCCTAAGAAAACATTTCAATTGATTAAATATTCAGATTTTGGTCTTAGACCAAGCGAACAATTCATAAACAATTAATTCCACAAATATAAGCAATACAATTAGCCCATTTCAAATCAGTGTTGCACCAAATAAATGCTTCTTTCTGTTCATTATTTGACAGCTGATCAGAATGGACTCTACAAAGAAAACAAATGCTCAGCAGTAGCAAAGAATTTCAGTGCGTAGGTCTTTGGCCCCAAATTTCTGTCTGTACTGAACTCAATACTGCTTTGCAATTCCTTGGCAAAGGAAAGTTATCCCAGTTACATAACTAAATTTTCCTTTGTAATGTAAAAAGTATTTTGTGGGTAGATAGATTTGGATATTAAAAAAATATAAATAAAAGTGGTCAAATCTTTCCCTGCCCAACGACAGTATCCACAGTGGTCTTTGGCCACAACTTTAACTGTTGTGCAACTTCATAGTTTCATACCAGCTGTCATTTTAGCAATAATAACTGAAGAGCAAGGCATTGTCTAGGAATTAATGACAAGCTGAGAAGAGATGGCCTGATGTGCAATAAAGGGGTAACACATGCTCATGCAACCACAGGAAATGCTCTATAAGCTGGCTGCTCTATTGCTCTCTCTGCATAGCTCATAGTTTTCTATGTTAGCTAACATGCTGGCAGGGTTTTCTCTTTGTATTTTACATAGCTCACTAAATGTTAAGTTTCTTATATTCCAAAGAATTCTCCCTGACCCTCAGCAACTACAGTATCCTTAACTGCCAGATTTCAGTCTATTTGAATGTTGCTCTGACAGTACACTATCATATCCACTGTTACATGGCAATTAAAATCACTAATTCAATCTACCATTGTGATATAGGTTTTTTTTTTATGAGCTATGGAACTCACCAATCTCATCTTTTGTATTTATATGTGTGTGTGACATATTGCACTAGATATTTGGCTTGTAAACCCTTCCACATTTTATTTATTCTCATGCTAGGGAAACATGAAAATAGATTTCCCCTTCTGGCTGACAGTAAAATATTTTTTTTTTCTTTACCACTTAATCACCAAAAGAATGTTTTATCCTCATTCTTGCTTTTTAGTGGATTCTGTTCTTGCTCAAGAACCGGGGTACAGTTGATAATTGGAGTTAAAGATGAAAAAGCTAAATGCTACCACATCACACCTGCCTCATCTGTGTTTGTATTGAAAATGAAATGACTTAAGAGAGAGCAGAATTTGTCTTCTGAAGTACCATTTTACTGACAACAGCCATCACAGAGGGGAGGCTACAGCCTGACACATGTATCCTAGCCACAGTTAGCATTGGTACCAAAGAAACATGGCACTTACTGAAGGAGAACATTTGTCCTAGAGCCCTGTAAGACTAAGTATTTGTCACTCAAGAGATCATTTATCCCTTGGTGAACAGTGTAACACACATATGATGGGTGCCTATTTGATGGTGGGACCATGTAACTCAGTTATGAGGAGGAATCACACAGGCTACACAACCTGCTCAGGAATCACAGGCTGGCCACTTGCCCACTTGCAGATGACTTCACTATGTTGCTCTGGGAGCTGGTTCTCAATGGAGGCAAACAAGTCCAAAGTTACTCCACTTATATAATTGAGCTATTACCATCTTACAATACTTGCAGAGATTACCTTAAGAAAATCATGTTTTCCTTATACTTTAAAACACAAAACTGAGCAGCACACACTCCTGGAGATACCTTTCCTTGCTGATTCCCTGCATGTCACCCTCTTCAAGATCGCTTTCAGTGTGATGCAAGAAACATTTTGTCCTTGAAGTGAGGGTTAAGAGCTTGACTCTTAAAGTCCCCTGAAATTTGGTTTTATAAAAGTATTATATAAAATATTGCCCTTTTCAGCTGCTTTAGCCCATTACCCAGAGTCCCTGCCTGGATCAGCAATGAGGTGACCTAAAGGACTGATGTGAACTTGGCAAAAGCCTCAATGGCCCTGGAGCTGGGTGGCACAGAGAGCTGCTTGCTTGTATTAGGGAGACAAGAGTGATCACCTTCCCACCCCCAAGTGCTGTGGCGTGGGAAAGCACTGAGCACACATTCCTCGGTAGCACTCAGCACAGGAAGGCTCCTGGCTTCTCACTTAAACCTTTCACTAGCACTCAGCAAGGTAAATAAACCGTACTGTCAGGGAGCTTCAGACTGCTCCTCTCATGAGCAAGAAGGGTGGAAATATTTGTTTACAACAGGAAGACACATTTGCTCCTGCTCCCTTTGCCTTGGAGTAAGCACCTGCCACTTGCAGAAACTTTTTCTCTATTTTCTTTTGCATTAAAGGCTTAGTGACAGGCTGAAATGATCTTTCTGGCATAAAAATCTGAAAAGAAGTTAGATTTCTCCTAATACCACAGCATTGCCCTAGGGAACACTATCTGAAAGCACTTGGGCACATTCATGCTCACACACATATGCATGCAGTTCCTCCCAGCCTGTTTTGGTACAACACACGATTGTGTCACTATTGTTTGCAAGTGTAACATTTTCAAGTGCACAAAATTTGCTTGTCTAAGCCTCTTGACTGGATGAAGGGGCCATCTTAAAAACTGCAGTCCCAACTAAGTCGAGAATTTGCCTTCTTAAACAGCTCAGATTCTTCTAAGCTAACACAAAGCACATGTTCTGGGGAAACAAAAAACAACAGAAACCCAGACAGGATACACCAATCTTTCAAGGCAGCAAAAGAAAATGCCAGCACTTTGTCAATAGTGGTGTTACAGCCAGACTCAAGACAAGTTTAAGGAGCAGAATAGAAGCCAAAAACTGAACAGGACAGGTGAAACTTCTAGGATTCAAGGTGATTAAAAAAAATGCCCAAACCAACCACAGGTTATATATATAGCTTGGGGATATATATATATATATAGCTTTTATATATAGCTTGGGGATTGTTTTTTGGTGCAACATTCAACCCAGATGTTGAATGCCAGCATGTTCCATGAGGCATTCAAGGTGGTTTTAACTTCAGATTACCCAGAGAATTTAGACTACACCCAAATTTTAGTGCTCCTCCTCCAATTCATGCTTAATGACTCAGCAAGTCCCAGGAATATAAATAAATATGTAAATAAAATTCAACATAATTCACAAAGGAAAAGTGCACATACTGGAGGAAAAAGTATATAGAACACCAGCTCAATAATGACAACGTGCCATATGCAGTTCAGGTTTCTCTCCAACAGCACTAAAATGCTCAAAGAAATCAAATAACATTCTAGAAATAAGTTAAACGGAAACAAAAATGAAATTCCACCATTTTCATTTACTTTACACTTCTCGGCAATTCAGATTTAAACCCTTTCATGACTTTCTTGAGTTGACAAGTCAACATTCCATTCCCTGAGAGCTGGTGTTTCAAACAGCTTCTCAAATGGAATGACTAGAGAACAACTTTTAAGTTTTATTTTTAGAAATAAAAGTATATTTTGGCCTTCCTGGTTGTACAACAAAACTAAGTGTTATAAAGCTACCACCAGTACAAGGCACTCTTCTAGAAGCCTTAAGGGAATCCAACTGAGTATTTTATAATCAATTATTATTCTGACAGACACAAAACAGTTATTCTAAACTTACTAAATCCTAGCTCAGTAACCTTGAGGAAAAAACAGCTGCTTTCAGCTCTGCTCTTCTTTCTTCAGTAGTATGTAGGTTATTAATGATATGGGTACTCAGGGAACTAAACCAGGCAGATGTATCTTTGCAGGTATCAGTTACATTGTAGCAGTATTAAAAAAAATACTTTTAGTATCAAAGTATCAGCTTTTTAAAATGAAAAATTAGTGGAGAGAATATACAGCAGTTTAACCACAGAGCAGTGTGTTCAGGACAGCATTAAGTGTAAAACCACCTTTGTTTTGTTCCCACTCAGAAGCCGGGAATTCACACTAACACAACAATCCCAGGCACACAGTCACAAATTAATTACCCGTCCCATCCCGTCCCCCCCCCCCCCCCCCCAAAAAAAAACCCCGCAGCTTCTGCAGGAAGGCAAAGCTTATATTGATCATATGTGACATTTTGCTATAGTATACTAATGCTAAATCCAGTACCTAAGCCAATAACTAATGCTCTGATGAGCAAAACAGATCTATGAAGACTTACCTCCTTCCCTATCCTGGTGCCCATACCTAAGTATTTCATTGTAATTGCAAAAGAAGAATTCGTCTCATGTGGGCGTACAGGATTCTGACCTCTCTTACAGGGCATCATTCTGCAAGGCACAAGCTGTACTCACCATGCATCTGGTACGTGTACGGTGCTTGTCCGGCTGTCGGGGTACCGAAGCTGGATCCGTAGCTAAGAAACCCACTCTGTCCTGGAGAATGGCTCAGGCTGTCCTCTGTTTTAATGCCTTTGGGGCATACCGTAACAACCAAGAGCAGAACATGAGTGTTTGTCATACAAATGCGTGAAGAAGAAAGTTTAGGAATTAATTTTTCAGATATATTTTAACCTAAGAAACTCCTTTTTCCTACACTTTCATTTTTAATTACCTGCATTACCCAAGAAGATCTCTTCAATAAGTCACATAGAGTCATTACAAATAATATTTGAGTCACTACATCCTGTATGAACCCAAATGAACTTTTGCTAAGATGGGTAAACAACCATGAAAAATATTGTTTTCAAAAACAATTTCTGAACAAATAGTTTTGTTTTAGAATTAAGCAGACTCATTGACTCATGAGCTTTCTGAACAGCTACCAGAAGCAAGCAATGACTAACAAAGCAAAAGGACCTTCAGCGAATTAACCTCAAGACTTCTATTCTCAACAGAGTTATCTTTTACTTGCATTGTATTTTCAGCTTTGATAGTAAAATATTTATTGGCAAGTTATAGAGGAGGGTTATCATCTATTCAACTAGGTACAATACACAGTTCAGGAACAACAGGTAAGCCCTGAAGCCACAAAAATCTTTTCATTACTAAAATCAGGCAATTAAACTGACAATTTATAGGGGGAACAGCAACAGCTGAATTAAACATTGCAAGATGAAACCTTTGCTGGTAGTGAAAGGGGTTGATATTTTATTCTGAGATGCTGCTGAGATTGTACAGCTGTATTAATAAAATAAACAGCTGAAAGGTGTGTTTTATTATGAACCCTTTGGGTTGGGCGTGATCCTTCCCTCCCGTATGTACCTATTTTCACAAAACAAAAAATGGCCATTGGGCACACCCCGAGTGCTGGGACTAAACAAAGACCCTCTTGATGTCCTGGATTTACACACTTCCCAGGCTGCTGTCATCTTTTAACACTTGTAGGCAAACCTGCCAAAAGACAAGTAGAATTCATGTGCTTTTCACCAAAGATGCTGTTTTTTAGCTTAATGAATCTTAAAAGCAAAGTCTGCATTTGCACAGAATAAGCTCTCCCAGAGAATGTTTTCTCTAATAAAAATCACTTTTAGCTTTAGGTGTGAATAGGTGCAATGCAATTTGAGTACAAGTTAGCAACAAGATGACAATGCTGCATTGTGAAATGCAGGAAGTTTATTTGAACAGTGAATGAACAAGTGATGGTGCAAGCATTCGGTTCCATTACTGCTGGGGAAGGGAAGGTATTTGCAAGTGTGTGCAGAGAAGCTGCCTTTCATAACATCCCATGCTTTTCAATGACATCAGCACTCTGCTTGTGAGCATTCAACCTACCCCAGCTACAATTAATCTTCAACGAATGGGTCTTTTTGGAAGTCTAAAAATTGTTGTCAGACAGCGAAATAACTTAGCACCAAATTAATTTCCACACAATGTTCTGTTTTGTCTAGAAACTGGCCGAGTTTTATTTTTGTGCCTAAAAACAATACTGCTTCATTGTTCTTGGTTGTCAGCCAGGTGGAGTTTTTCATACGCTGTGTTGAGTATCTTAGAGAGGGTATATGGGCTGGGGGAGGGAAATCACTGCTCAAGGATGCTAAGAGGTCATCCACAGGATTTATAAGCAGCATATGGGCCTGACACATGTATGCCCTAAAGACTCTAGGCAGTAGCAAATGGATCTACTTTCACCTGCTCTAACAGGACAACTGTTCAGAGTTTGCCTTGGAAATCAGCCAGCTGATGCAAACACATACGTAGCTCCAGGAAAGAGTCTCAAAACATTCTCTCATCATCCTGGTAGAGCTTCGGCTCTGCCAAGTCCATTTCCCTGGCTTCCAGAGCATTGCATTGAATTTCCTTTCAGTAAAGGCCTTGTCAATGGTGTATAAAAACTTCTTGTTGGGAAAAGATACTGTATTTGCCAAGCAAACAAAAGGTGTTTAACAGCACAGGAGAAAACAGGAGTGGAAACAGAACTATGAAGCCATCTTAATGCTACAAGACTCAACACTCACAGGATGAGCCCAAAGCTTTCTGTTAAAGAGCTGTACCCAAGCAGGAGCAGTATCTCCTTGGTCTTTAGGAGTGGTAAGTACTTCCCAGCTCCCTCAAGGACTTTCTATTTCTATGCAGAGCTTGAGTACACTCTTACCACTTGGTTTACCAGGCATTCCATTGTCAGGAGTGCTGGTTTAATTAGGCCCCTGCCTGAACCCCCCAGCTGCTCCTGCCCAGCACTGTCTCCTCGCAGCTGCTGGCAAGGCTCTGCGCAGGAAAGCAGGGAACAAGGCTGACTGGGATTAGGAATGGTTACTGCACCTATAGCTAACAAGCAGCCCTCACATAGGAACCACCTTCCACAACTGAAGTACTCTGTACCATTTCACCCATGCCTGTGTCTTGGCTCTTCTGTAATAATATACAAAAAGTTTCTCTTAAAGTAGCTTTTATCATTGAAACTCCTGGAACAATCAAGGAAGGTAAAGTGTACTTTACCTAAATATCACATTTACTGCAAAAGACTTTGTCTTGGCAGTGAGTCATGGAACACTCACCAGCTACTACTCCTAAATGGTACATCCCATTGAACCTGACTTTCTCCTGCTGCCTCATATCCTACTACAGACTGGTCCAAACTTACCTAGCTTGTAAGATCAAAACCCAAGATACCAAGGGCTGATAGTTCAAAATAATCTTAACATTTTTAATCAAGTCAGATAAGACTTCAAATACGTTTTTTTAAGAGCCAGAGGACAATGTCCTCAAAGGTAACATGACATCAGAGCACTCACTGTAGGAGGGTATGCCATAGGGCTGCCCTGGAGGAGGATAGGCAGTGTAGGCAGCAGCCTGCTGGATTCCTGTGCTGTACTGAGTCTGTCCGTACGTTGCCATTGTTGGGAAAGATGGGACTGTCACTATATGGGGATAATGTCTATTCAGAACAAGAAAATAGAAAGTTTAAGGCAATAGTTCCTGTACATGATCTTCTACAACACACGTAGAACACTTCTAGATATTTTCATAAAATAACATTCAAATTACAACAGTGAATATTTTAGGACTCAGAACTGACTAAACTGGGGCGAAAGTTAGTTTCAGTATACAGCTCCTGATATGAGCTAGTAGATTAAGCTAGCTAAATGCACAGGGACTTCAAGACAGTGCAAAATATGTGCTAGTAAAAAAAAAGTAAGTAAAATCAATGCTCATTTTTCATGTTTCATTTTGATTTTGCCAAACAAGCAAGTGCCTGACATTTCAACATATTCCTCTGTGGTCACTCATAAACACAAGAATATTTAAACTGATAAGGTTTGGATTCCCGGGGTATGGAAGTACCCCTGCACAATACCTCAAACCTTCTTTCACTCTATCTAACAAGATTAAGAGGCAGTTACTTCATTGGGCCAGAGACATGCAGGGGAACAGGTGGATGGGCTTAAGGCAAATGCTTTTTAAGGTGACAGAAGTCTGCACAAAATGGCTGTTCAGCAAAACACATTTTTGAAGTTTGAGCGCTTGGTATGAGCACTCACTTTGTCGAGTACAGATGGAGCGGACACTGCGGTGCTGCTTTGCTGCTGCCTGGAAAACAAAATTAAAGGGTCTTAGTTTTTCAGCATGTTTTGTTCTGTGGCCAAGCCAACACCACTGTTTTTACCACTGCTGGTTTAAGAAAAATATACAGGAATTAGAAGACTTTGGTTTTAGTGAATCTCCATAAACTGAAGTAGGTAACAAAGTTATTCTCCACTTAACAGCAAATATAGATTTAGTTTTTAACTTAGGGTGATACTGACTGATTGAACTACCAGTTTCTTCTCATGGGACTGATATCAATCACGAAGCTAGGCTTTGGTGGGATGACTCATATGCTAAAGGCTACAAAAGCAACTATTATGATTACCGAAGTGATTTAAGCTTACTGCACTTTTTGCCCTTTTAGGGTTTTTTTGTACTCTCCTAGACCATGACTCACTTTCTTTAAGGTTATTAAAATATATCAAATCAAAATAAATATTAAAAACACAACAGTGTAATTCTTTTTACTCTATCACCTACCTTAACCTGCCAGCAGTCAAAATACTGAACCAGTAGGAAATGTATTGCACCAATTACACGTACAGGATGCTTTCCAATGTACCGAACAGTTGTGTCCTAGAACACTACTGAAGAAAAATGTGCCACCACCTTTATTTAGAGATCAATTTAGGCTTAATTGACTAAAATAAAAATATCTGAATTCAAAACTGCAAGCACTTGCAAGTGCTTTCCTGTGCCATATTCCACTCTTTGTACCCTCCTCCACAACAAATTCAATCCTTGTGCCCTTTCTGATCCCACCTCTGCTAAGCTGTCCCCCAGTTCTGCCAGAGCTCTTCCTTTGGCTGTGTACAACCCAAAACACCACAGAAGGGCAAATATCACATCTATGATCCTCTTCTGTTTTCCTCCAGGGTCCCCCAGCATATACTTACCTGATGTCTGCACAAATCCCTTTGCAAAGGATAGCTCAGGTAGGACAGTGTGCCAGGGGAGGGACAATGAAACCTGCACAGCCCTTATCACTATCAGAATCACCCTAAGCACTGATAGAAACAGAACCATAAGGACTCACTCCTTCTTCACACTCTTACAACCCTGAAAGAGCTTGGAAAAATAAAACCTACCACCAACCCTGCCTTAGTTCCTCTCCCCATGAAATGTGGGTAACAGTAACCTATTTCCCAAGCAATGGGCAGGCAGGCTTATTTTAAAAAAAGATAAAAAATAAAATCTGAAAAAAGATAGTGTTATACAAACGTACATATTCTTTTACACACAGATATAGAGGAAAAGACTGTTTTTAAATCCAAAGCTGCACTTACCTGACTCCCCTTCAAAGTCACTATGAAAAATTCGCTTTGACTTACCTGAAAGAGAACAGTTATGGAAAATTAGATTTTTAGATTGAGAAAAGAAAACCTATACCATTCTGTTACTGATCCTCATTACCAAACAGAAATATAATGAAAACATATACTTTTTTAGTTTCATTCATGCCTTTTACATTTGAAAGGAGGCAGAAAAGACAGGTTGAGCATAAGTTTCGTTTCTCTTTAGAAACTTTTTATTTTGAAATTTAAAAAAATCTTCAAACTTTTTTATTTTGAAAGAGTAAATACGTTTGCCAAGAATGCCAAGTGGGAATTTACTGCATGGAATATGCAATATGGTACTGCCATTGCCAGAAAAAGGCAAGTTGAACTGACACGTGCACCCAAAACACCCAAAACAACCAAAAGTGTAGGACTACAGGCAGAATGTGCACTTGACAATTATATTGAGATAACTGTATATCTCATGATAAGCAGCCATAAAATGAGCAGGCCACACATCTACATAAATAAGTATTGCTACCAGACTCAGTAAAATTAAAATTATATGTGCAATAAAGAGCATACACTTGTGTGCATTTATTGCATTAAAAGCTCTGTCAGTCTAAGACTTGATAAACATGCAAGTATTTTCCTGTTCTTCAAATTAACAAGAAGTATTTTCAAGGGAAAGAGCTTAATCTTGGAAGCACAAGGGATCATCCTGCAGAAAAATAACCTTAATACTTCTGTAAGAAACACATCAGCCTGAGCTGCCACTAGCAAACTGGTGTCTAACAGTACAACTCTTATGTTAGCTCTTAGGTTAACTGTCTATATTAGCTCTTATTTATATTGTATAATAATAATGAATAGTTCCTGCACCAAGAAGTTTACAAAATGCTGAATTCAAAAATCATTTCTAGCTCTAATCTTTTCTCCAAACATGAAGATTTAAAAGGATGTTTCCTTTAGATTGTTATCCCTTTGACTGCTTTTGTAAATAGGCAGCTCACGATGTACGTGATTTAATCACGCAGTTTCTAATGCCTCAGCAAACATGCAAGCAAACACCTCCTTGGCTTCTAAGAGCCTAGAAATGAAGGGTTAAACATACTACTAAAACATAATAGCCAGTGCCTTTTCCTAACTCCCCTCTAACAGGAAGGCTGACAGATCCTGACCGCAGCAAACAATAGCTGGGATTGTACTAGCAAGAACTAGTTCAGCTGCATCACTTGCCAATAATTTTTTTAGCAGATTTAACATTCTTCTGTTTCCTTCACTTGAACAGTATGATGGAGTTGGGGGATGTGGGGGGAGGAGGAGAAGAGCAGATAAATTTCCATCAGAGCCTCAGCCACTGAAAGAATTTGTCCTTGGTACCTGCCAAATGTGAAACTTCAGAGCAGACGCCAGCAGGGCTGACCGTTTGGAGATGATAGCAATGATCTCAGAACAATGCAAACTGGGGCACAGAGATGCTTTGGCAAAAGGTTTCCTGGCTTTACAATACAATGTTGGGCCTGGGAGTCCCCCCACCTCAACAGCAGCAACACAGCCACACAAGCCCAGGGCTCACGTTTACACTATTACTGGGGCTCAAGGGGTCCGAAAAACGCCCTACACAAAGTATGTTTTATATCTGCAATTATTCCAGTGGAACAAACATATACATGCATGTGTACATATACATATACACCTACTATGCACAGATAATTATCTACATATAAGATATTCCAATTCCCTTTGAATTCAAACCATCGCCGTAATAAAGGATTCAGCCACAACTGGAGTGTCTACAAAAAAATTACTCCAAAATCTCAGCTGCTCACTATGCTGTAGAACTAACTGTCAGAAGCAGAGGCCTTGCATGTAGCCACTTCCCTTGGGTTACATACACATACATGTTTTGTTAAAGCCAGTAAAGTCAGTGGAAGAGGCAGCCTACCTTCTATGTCATCTGGAGCCGTGGCATAAATGTTGGAAAGGTTAAGCTTCAGTCTGTCAGGGCACTCTCTATTTACAGTCAGGCTGGGTGATATCACTAGATCTAGCATTTCCTTATACCTGAAGGAAAACAAAGGAAAAATATAATTTATTCATTAATTATGCATGCTTACTAATGATTCTCCTTTTTTTTTTTCCCTAAGAGTATAAATATTAAAGCTGATTACCTAAACCCAAGCTTCATATGAATTCCACGTAATAACATTCACTAAAGTTTTCATCAAAGGGAAATGCTGAATTAAAATGCAGCACTCGTTCCCTTGGAGATTACACTCATCTGATTAATGATTTCTCCTTCTTCCTGGATTTTGCTGTACAAAAACTGAATTTCCTGATCTCTCATATGCTATTAGAGTGAGAACATACACACCAGTGTCCAGTGAGCTTCCAGAACAGACTACTACAGGCTGAAAATGAAGCTGAGGGCAGTTAACAGCATTATCTAGTCTTACAATGTTAGGACTGCTGATAGATCAGTCGAGGGGACACCTAAACCAGGCACTTATCTACAATGTCCTGATCATTAGGTGGCAGCGATACAAGGACAGTCCCTTTCACATAAATAACCTCATCTAATTTAACCAAATATTTCAAATGAACAATATATAGGACTTGAATCTCCAAAGAAAAAATATAACTGTGTGTGCACAACCTATGCTATAATGAAAGCTTACGACCTCTGCATTGCAGAAACAGCTCAGGAAAGAGAATGACTAAATCCTTATTTCATACCCTATGTGTAACATGGACAGGTTCATTCATTCAAATACCTTGATTTTCAATACATGTGTAACTCCAGCTATACATCTTTCAGAAGTGAGTTCCAAAGAAACGGAGCTGCTTGCTTTCCACAGAAGTACTGGATGGATATAAAATTTGGCATTAAGTGCATAGATATGTGCTTCTTTGCTGTCTGCAGACACACAGAGTATGTCCTTACTTCAATTCCCTGGATGCTACTGGGGCTAATCCGGGCTATTACGAAAAAGCGTAACTGTGCTCTTGGACAGCAGTGCCTGGGCAAGAGCAGATCGGAGGTGAGATCGGAGCAGATCGGTGGTGAGTGGATCCAAAGCACGTTCCTGCAGCCTACACGGGCTCCCCTTTCTGCTGAACGCTCTACCTGTGGAGGCATCTGGTACACACTGTTTGTGGACTGGGACCTATCTGAGCTGGACTACAAAGGTAGCAATCCATAGCACTCCTAAAACATCATGAAGTTAAAGACAACAACACATAAACCTGAAATCTTGACACTGGGCTTCTCAAATACTGATCTCTGGGCTTCTGGGAGAAGCAAAGATGTTCGTTTTGATTTTCTGTTTAAATACCACTGTATGACTTTATCAGCTTTAGGAAGCAGAGAACAATAAATCACATGCTCCAAGCTGGTACCTGCAGGCACCATTGAAGCATATGTGCACCCGCTTCACCGGCAATCTTGGGCACAGGGTAGGCAGGCTGATGCCTCAGAGCCACAGGCTGTCAGGCAGTGAGGGATCATCACGGCCCTTCTGCACACTTTGCTTATGCCAGAGGAAAAACAGATTTTTTTTCCTGAAATGGCTAATCTCACTCTTTCACTGGCTCAGCTAGGCTGCCACGGATCATGAAGACAAGCAACTATAGCTCCTAAGATTCTCTTCAAAGCAGCAGGTTGAGCAGGGTCTCTTTTCCCAGAGGAAATACTTTATTTGAATCCAGTGGCACCCAATTACATTCTGTCTGCCTGGCTGGGAAGGCAGGGTTCACTTTTATAGTGGGGTTTCCTTTTTACTGTAAGCAATATCTGATTTTTTTCCCCTTTATTTCCTTAATGCTATACCTGAATTGAGGAAGAGCAGTCCTGTCCCAGAACCTGTGAAGCTGGGGATGCTCTACACTGTTTCTCAGATAACACATGCCCTTCAGCATAATCCAAAACCCCATCATTCATGACACTAGCCAGACTGTTGCCAAGTGAATGGGAGCAGATGTTTAAAGGGAAATGATCTTTTATAATGATTAATGTACTTTAATTACATCATCATTCAGAGATTTCATTAGCTACTCTCTGACTGATGATTTTCCTACTGGTTTTGTTCTGTTCACTTTGTCACATCACACTTCCCTGTATTTGTTCTATAACATTTTCCTGGCTTTTTTTTTTTCCAGCTTCCATTTTTCTTTAAGGTACATATTAACTGCAGGTACAAACAGGTAACTTCTCACAGAAATGCCTGTCTAGTGCATGTCATGTATGTGCTTGTGGTGTTAGTGGCTTTGCCTGTTTTGCATGCACCATTTACTGATTTGTTTGTGTGCATTTCTTGCTCTGTACTTCTTCACAGGAGTTTCTGAAAGCCCAGTTTTAACAATGGAAATCTACAGAAAATCTCCAGTAAAATAACAGAACTGGGATGGTATTTAACACCGTAAATGACATGCTGGAGTGCAAATGATGAAAATATCAGGTCTGTTTGCTTTCTTTTCAGAGCAAAAACATTTTCTGGCTTAAGTAATGTACAGTAAATCAGTAATAAAAAGTTTGCTGAATATGAGCTTTTATTAAAACCAGTGATGGCAGCATCTAGCATGTTGGGCTGACAGACATCTGGAAGAGCTTTTGGCTTCTGTAATTAAGAAGAGCCTTGTGTGAATTTGGTACTCAGCTTTTCCATTAGAATCCCTACTCAAAACCCAATATTTTGCCCTGAAAGTTGGTCCACAAAAATCTCTGCCAAGAACAGAAACTTTTCTCTTGACTAATGCTTAGGAAGGAAAAAAAAGAAAAAACTACTTTTCAGTCATTCTGAAGCTAGGAATGCCAAATTCAACAAATTAAAGGTGTTGGGGTAACCTGCAAATCACATTTTCTTTTACAATGATGTTCTGAAGGCAGTGATTCCAGACCCCAATTTGAAACTCTCAAAGGTATGCTGAACATCAATCTACTTAACAATTGCATTTCTCTCCAGCAAAATGCTCAAAGATGGATGTAAGTGCAATGCCAAAGCAGGATGCAGCGGGCCGACTGAGACAATAAGGTGCTCTGGATACCAATGGTGATGAGAACTTCAGGGACAGTATTTTGAAAGGATGAAGCAGGAAACCACCATGGCATCGTGGGCAGATGCAACCACACTACAGCTCTGCTCAGCACAGCCAGAAGGCATCAGCAAGAGAGGAAGGAGACTCCTTCCAAAGCCTGGACCTCTGCTACCCGGGCATAATTTAAAGCATCTCTCAGCCTGCTTTAACCTGTTTTAAACATCCTCTCCACAACACACTAAAGGCATCATCTCAGGACCACAGGCATTTCCATCCTCACTGTGGAAGCAGCAGGCTTGTTCCTGGGAGCCTGAATATTTCACTCATTCCTGGGGTAAGAAGACAGCATTCTGGCTTCAATACATTCAACTACATGAAGCAGAACAAACATTCAAAGGAGAACTTCCAGGACACTTTCAGTAAATAAGACACCGGGGTAGTAAGTAGTACCAGGGTAAACTCAATTGCCAAGTGATGAAGAGGTTTCAGGGAGAATGTGCACGGAAGAGCAGAGCATTTGCCCTGCAATGACAGCAGCCTGCAGGAGTGGTTGAGTAACAGCATGTTGATGGTAGAGTTCAGAAAGGACATACCAGAAGCAGAAGACAGTATAGAGTGGGGGGGGGAAAGATGGCATACTTGTGGAAAATAAACAGGATGAGCACTGTATCTGCCATCAGTGGAGGAACCGATTAGTTAGGAGCTCTGCAGAATGAAGCAGGTGAGAAACTGAAGATAGGACTCCTGCCCTTGAGAAAAGCCTGCCAGATCCTACAATGGGAAAGACAAAACACTTTCAGGGAGTAAGAAATTGCAAAGAGGGACTGCATTCCCATGAAGGAAGAGGCAAATCTAGAAATTACTCTCCCTGCAACAACTCCATGTGATGATCTTCTCAAGAATTTTTACTCTTATCTGGCTAGAGGCCAAGCACAAAGCTTAAACCACTAGATCTTTCTAAACACATGCATATGCCAACACAGAGCCCTAGGCAGGAGGGGTACAAGCCAAGTCTGCTGCTGGCTTTGCTGGGAAGGGGAGGAGCAGAGACAGAAACTGCAGCCTAAATGAACTGCAGCCTAATTGCAAGAGTAACATTTTTGTCTTGCTTCCATGACTTTATCTGTTTTTAGTTACTTGATCAACTACTTTCACATTTATTCTTCTCAAAAAAATAGTGCAGATTAGTATGTAGAGATCTGCAGCTTTATGATTCCAGTGCTACTCATCCTAAGAAAGAAGAAAATCTGATTTCCCACTTAGTTTCAGCAGTGAACTACTGAACAGTAACGGCAAAAAAGCGGTAAGACAGGTTTTTCAGTCTCTGATACAAAGAAAACAAACACCCAATCCTAAAAATTTTGTCTTTCCTTCATTCCTAGGAAACACAAGATTTAGCGTAATTTTTTTCCACATGGGTAAAGTTTTCAAAAGCACCTGCTCTGTCTCATTAATTTTCATTTGGAATTAAGCCTTCAACTGTTTTAACTCCTTGGGAAGCATGGCAGCTTTGCCAGAACTAGCTGGTTGCAAAATTATACTCCACATTTCACTCTGCTCCTGCACAAAAAAGTACTTCATTCATAAGCAGAAAAAATGACCTTGTCTTGTGGCCACCTTCCAGGTGGTATAATAATAGTGTATCTCCCATACTGAAGATTTTGGCTACTTTTATCCACACATTTCAAAGGCAGAGGAAAGCAATTTCATTTCCTCTGTCAGTACATTCCTCCCCACACTGTTAGGATGTTTTCTCTCCATCTATAATAGATCCTTTGTTCTTTCCATTTCAAGAACTCAAAAATGCTTCAGCAGGTGAAAACCACAATGCTGTTTTCTCTTTTATGAAGAATCTTGGCTCATCCAAAAGTACATCTGATAGATGTAAGCAGGAAAGGCCTGAACAGGCATAAAGTTAAACCTGAGCTGGCATAAATGCTCATGTACAAGACTGACAGTACAGCCACGATGACAAGATATCCTTCCAAGGTGACCTGCAGGGCGGCAAGCCTCAGGCTGTTTATATTCCT